GCCCTCACATAGCCAGGGAGCCCCTGCCCTCAGGTAGCCACGCTCGCCGTGCCGGGTTAAACAGTGGGGTTTTGACCCATCAAACACAAATCCAGGCAGGAAAGGAACCCCAGGGAGCCAGGACTCCCTGCAAAGCCCAATTCATCACCCCCACCCGCTCGGCCGCCGCGGGGAACGGCCGCAGCAGCTGCTCACCCCCTGCTCAGATGTGTTGAGAGTCGTCTGTAGGGTCTGCAGGTCCCAGGTGTCCATCCTCCTCAGGTAGCACGTGCTCTGCTCCACCGGCTTGTAGCACACGTAGCCCTGCGGGACAGATCGTGCCCCGTTACAGGAGGGACCCGCAGCTCTTAAAAGCCCCCAAAATGGACATTCTTCCTTTTGCCCTGAGTTATTTTTCCTAACTAAAGGTGCAGAGAAAGGCAGCAAACAGTAGCTGGTTGATGTTTTTCCTGGTCTACACCTCCTGCTCCCACCCCAGCAGCTCTTCTCAGCAGCCTGGGCTCCTCTGCTCACCTCCAGGCTAGTGAGGAGGGAAATTATCCCAGCGCACTTACGTTCCTGCTGTCGTACAGCACCACGGCGCTGTGGTTACTCTGAGAGGTTATGTAGTAGGTCACGGTGCTCCTGGACTTGTCCACCAAGGCTGTCTGGTTCCTCAGCGGGTCCTGCTGGCCCTGGAGCGTTAGCCGGATGAGCTGAGAGCCGGCCTGGGCACAAAGAGAGTGAGGGCAGCACCGACCATCAGCTGTTCAGGGTCTGTGTGCAGCATCTCCCCACTGACACCCCCACCCGACCCTTTGCTGGTCCCTGTCATCTCTCTGAATAATCCCAGCACTGCCTGGATTGGAAAAGCCCTTTAAGCTCATCGAGTCCAACCATGAACCCAACACTGACCAGTCCCCTATGACTAACCCATGTCCCTCAGCACTGTGTCTACACGACCCTTCAATCCCTCCAGGGATGGGGACTCCACCACTGCCCTGGGCAACCCCTTCCAATGCCTCAGAACCCTTGCAGCAAAGAAATTCTTCCTCACATCCCATCTCAACTGCCCTTGGTGCAACTTGAGGCCATTTCCTCTTGTCCTGATCCAGGTCAGGATGCCCTTGGCCTCCTTGGCCACCTGGGCACTCTGCTGACTCATGTTCAGCTGCTGGTGATCAACACCCCCAGGTCCCTCTCTGCCAGCAGCTCTCCAGCCACTCCTGCCCGAGCCTGGAGCGCTGCTGAGGGTTGTTGAGGCCAAAATTTAGCAACAGAGAGAAGTTCTGACCCAAGGGAGGGGAGCAGATCTGTGACACAGGCCTCTCTCCATCACAGGGGGCTGGGGGATTGGTGCTGGTGCCCCTCACGCTGGAGGCACCCATCCTGCCAGGGTGCAGGGTGCTGACACACTGAGGTTCCTCTAATTTAAGGAAGAGTTTCTGGGGTGCATTGCAGGGGTGAGACAGCCACTGCTCAGCTCCCTGCCTGCAGTGCTGCCGGCACCTTCCTGAGATGGGAACCAACCAAACCCAGCCCTGATCTCAGCCCCTTCATCCCTCCCGGCAAGTGCTTCCAACAGGGACCAGGGCTGCGAGAGGAGATCATGGAATGGTTTGGCTGGGAAAGACCTTTGAGATCATCGAGTCCAACCGTACCTGTCCACTGCTCAACCAGATCTCTGAGCACCTCGTCTGCCCGTCTGTTAAATCCCTCCAGGACGGGGATCTCCTGCCTGGACTGGGACCCCTTACCTGGGCAGAGCTGGGGGAGAAGCTGAGAACCCCCACGACGCTGATGCCAACAACTGCAAAAAACAAGGCAAGGGACAAGATGATCCAGAAGGTCCTGGATGGAGCTGTGAGGTGTGCTGAGGCTCTCGTGTCCTGGCAGCCAAGGGGAGAGAAGGAAAGAGCAGGAGTTAAAATCAAACCCTTCTGCTGGTTATTCTCCTTCAGCAGAAAACACGCTTCCTGCCAAGGACACAAACCGTTGTGCAGCTGAGTGCAGAGCTGCTGGGACACGGCAGCAGCCCTGGAATAATGTCACTTTTACCCCCTGGTGCTGGAGTTTCAGACCCCGCACGCCAGCACCCGGCACTCCCAAAGCTGAGCCCTCTCCCCCGGGGAGCCGGGGAGGATCCAGCGCCCAGGAAGGGCTGGAGCAGGAAAAGCTTCCCACAGGCAGGGGCTGCAGCTGCACTTCAGCAGCGAATGAAATGACTTTGATTTACAGCAGAAACCCCCAGGAGAACCATCAGCATCTGAACCAGGCTCCATGTGGAGCAGTCCTGCTCCTTGCCCCTCATTTTAGTTGGTTGTATTTTATTTTCCTGATAAGTCATTCTTCCCGCAGACCGAGCTGTTACTTGAAGCAAAAGCGCTTGGCAGTCATGTGGCATTTCTAGTGGCTCGATTAAAATTCACTTTAATTCTTATATTGAAACAAATTTAACCCGACGGCATATAAAATCATTTTTACAAAGCAGAAGGAATGTGCTTTCAATAACAGCTTCAGCCACACTTAAAAAAATAATTCATTTCTCGATCTTCTGCAGCACAGAGAGAAATTCAATAACTGCCCGTGGTTAGATTAGCTACAGCCACACGAGGAACGGGGATTTTTGGGTAATACGTGATTTCCAGACAGATTCCACCAGAAAAACAGGAAATCTGAACAAAGTCAAACTGCACATGAACAAAATTAAAACAGTTTAACAAAGTTAAAACAATTTAACAAAGTTAAACCTGCGCGTCACCGAAATCTCATCAACTCCAACCCAGGAGAGCCCCCGCCCCGCGGTGACGGGCAGGTTTTCAATAATCAGTGGAATTCCCTGGCTGGGAAAGGTGCAAACAAAGCAAAGCAGCGAGCGAGCCCTGTCCCTCGGCAGCTCCCGGTTCACACGTGCACACGCATCCCGAGCGGCTCCGCAGCGCGTGAGACGGGTTCTTTGGCACCTCTAACCCGACTGCCCTGCCCTGTCACACGTGGGGTCCATGCCCTGTCACACGGGGGGCTCACACTGTGTCACACGGGGGGCTCACGCTGTGTCACACAGGGGGTCCGTGCCCTGTCACACGCGAGGCTCACGCCCTGTCACACGCGGGGTTCGTGCCGTGTCACACGGGGGGCTCGTGCTGTGTAAGTCCCACACAGACAAGAAAACCCGGCTGACAGTCAGCTGCCTCACAGGGAGCTGAGCTGTGGGGTGCTGAGCTGGGGGATGAACCCCGTCTTCCCAGGATTCACGGGAACAGCAGGAGCTCAGCCCCCTCAAAAGCGGAATCAAGCAAGGGCAGAGTGGGGACTGTCGGTGACAGCTGGGGGACCAGGATACTCACCGCAGGGACAGCGTCGCCGGGGCCGGTCCCACCCTCCATCCTCCACTTCAGATCCGGACCTTGCTCCTGCAGCTCTGCCTGCTGACAACACCCAGACTGGGCATGATCCCCAGCTCCCCGCTCCCGGGAAACCTAAACGTGTCCCTCGCAGCCAAAGGGCTTCCCAGCCAGGAGCTCCTCAACTCAGACCCCCAGGGAGGGTGAAACCTTAGAGCTGCCCCTGGGGAGGGGAAGGGAAGGGGGAGCCCAGAGCTGCCGAGCGATGCTGTCAGGGCACAGAACGGCTCTTCCTGCTCACCCTG